GATGTAGTTCCTTGCTTTTCATGACTTCAAATAATTCTTTCCAGCCCCTTCTTGCCTGTAAGGTTTTCTTTTGAGAAATCAGCTGATAGTCTTATGGGCACTCCCTTGTAGGTAACTCTCTCCTTTCCTCTTGGGGCTTTTGAGATTCTCTCCCTTATCTTTCTGTTGTGTAACTTAATTATGTTGTGTCTTGGTGTGTTTTTCCTTGGGTCCACTTTCTTTGGGACTCTCTGAGCTTCCTGGACTTCCTGGAAGTCTATTTCCTTTGCCAGATTGAGAAAGTTTTCCTACATTGTTTGTTCAAATAAGTTTTCAAAATCTTGCTCTTCCTCTTCTCCTTCTGGCACCACTATGATTCAGATGTTGGAACACTTAAAGTTGTCCCAGAGGTTCCTAAGCCTCTCTTCATTTTTTTGCATTCTTGTTTCTTCATTCTGTTCCCATTGAATGCTTATTTCTTCCTTTTGTTCCAAGTCTTTGATTTGAGTCCTGGTGCCCTTCCCTTCACTTTTGGTTCCCTGTATATTTTCCTTCATTTCACTTGTTATAGCCTTCATTTCTTCCTTCATTTTGCAAATGAGTTCAATCAATTCTGTGAGCATCCTGATTGCCAGTGTTTTGAACTCTGTATCAGATAGCTTGTCTATCTCCTCATCACTTAGCCCTCTTTTCTGTAATTTTGACCTGTTCTTTCATTTAGGCCATACTTCTTTGTCTCAGTGCACCTGCTATGTTGTAATGGGGGATGCCTTAGGTAATCACCAGGGTGGGGCAACCCTCTTTGCTGCATTGTGGTGCTGTCTGTAGGGGAGGGGTCAGAGAGGGAACAATGCCACTGGCTCACTTGCTCAGCTCTAGCCCCATTTCCAACCAACTTTCCTGTGAGACTGGGAGTTTCTCCCACCTTCACAACCCCCACAGGATTCTACATCCAGAGGTTTTGAGTCTTTAGTTTCCTGGTCAGCCAGCCCCCGCCTCATGCCTGCATGGTCCACTGCCTTGCAGCAGGTCCTCTCTGCCCATCTGCCCATCTCTGCCCCTCCTTCTGTTATGGATGAATGTTTCTTCAACTCCTTGGTTGTTGGAGTTCCACGCCCAGTCAGGGCACATCTGAGAATCAACAAATGAATGCATAAATAAGTAAAACAACAAATTGATATTTCTCTCTCTTTCATCAATAAATATAAATAAATAAATAAATAAATAAATAAAAAGAAAACATCCTTTCAGTACAAGATAAACAAAGGAGTATTGTAGGGGGAATATATATGCATAATGGTGACTTAAAATAGCTTGCAGAAGTCAAAGCTGACTGCTAGAGATATGGCAGTGACTTTTCTTAATATGGGAAACACAGAACTTTATGGGAAGAAATCTACAGATTCAGTTTGGGTATGTTAAATTCAAAGTGAATAAGTCCACTCAGGTGGAGATAGATGTCATTAGGCAATCTGAGTTTACAAAGAAAATCTGGGTAGGAGATACAAATTTGGAAGTTGTCATAGAGATGCTTACATCAGATTGGATGATATCATAGGAAAATAAACATTCCTAGGACAGAATCCAAGGAACATTAATGTTTAAAAACTGGGTAGAGCATTCTATGAACTGATATGAAGTCTTATGTGGAGCCAATGGACAAATAGGATCCAGAAAATATTGCATTTGGAAGCCAGATTTTTAAAAAGTTTCAAGGAAAAGGGAATACTCGTATGTGCCAAATACTACTCAGACACTAAGTAAATGAGAACTGAAGTGTGCCCATTAAATTCATTGTATATCATTGATTGTCCTAACTAGACCTCTTTTGAGGGTGGAGTGTTGGGCAGAGGGTGGAAACCAGAAATAAAAATATCAAAAGGGTAAGGTGATGGGGAAAATGCACACAACACTTTTGAGAAACTGTGAAGGGCAGAGAGTTGGAAGTAAGGTGCTGGAATGTTGTATCCAATGCTGGAAATAAATTTCTTTTAATTACCAAGTTGATTAATGTGTTGACCCATAGTAGGATGAACTGCCTTTAGAAGTGATGCTAGCACATTTCACTGTCTAGGTGCACATGTGCCATTTGCAAACACAGCTGGAAACCATGTCACAGAGATTCTGTAATTAGGTTAATTAGCAGAAATGCCAGAGTAGATGTAGCTGGGTTATTGGCCTCACACTCTGGAGGACTTCCCATGGAAGAGGGAGGGGACTCACCATGAGCTGCTACAGGGGGCGAGGCCCTGACAAGATGGATGGAGGTTACCAGGAGGCAGGTTTTGGTTTATTCTAAGTACAAGTATCATAAGAGACTCTAGCCCCTCTGATGGTCCCCCAGGGAATGAACACTATTATACATAAAAGAATACTGGATGCAAGTAGGATGTCCTGCCAGTCTTTCCTTATATCCCCTTTTGCTTGTCTCTGTCTCTTCACTGAATCAGCCACACTTGCTCCTGTTGGGCTTGCACCAGGCTTGGCACTAGGGAATTTGTGTTCTTTCCACTAGTTTTTTTTAAGATTAGAAAAAGTCCAACTCCTTTCTCTTTCACTTAAATTACAAAAGCATTGCTTATTTACTGTAAGCAGGGAAGACATATAAAATGTAAAAGGAGAAATGAATCATATCCTATGACTCCTTGTTCATTCATATCCTCCTGATATAAACAGGATTAATGGACTAGTAAGTACCATTTTCTAAATTCATCCATTTTCACTAAAGCATTTCCAAGCTCATACCCATAAAAGGATTTTTGTGGATGATGTCTTATTATTGGTTTTTACAAAATTGAGATTCAGTCATACATATTATTATTAAATTGGCTTTTTTAATAATGTATTTTTATGGTATTTTTTCTATTACCATTTATTCCCATTATACCTTCTTCTTCATCCACCCACCCTCTTCTCCCCTGCAATCACCACACTGTCCTCCAGGTGGATATAACTCATTTAAACAATGGCAAATATTTCATTCATGAGAAGTGGGTATTACAGTTTATATAACCATTTGCTTATTTATTGGTAGTCCAATTATTTTCAATTTTCTCCTATGCAAATAATTTTGTGATATTTGCATCATGTATCTCTACATACTAGTGAGTTTATTGCTATAGGATTACTCCCAATGTTTATATTATTAGATCAAGGGAAAAGCAGGTGCACATACACACAAATGTTAGGATATGGTCAAATTATTTTCTCAGGTTAATTATTTTCAGTTGTCTTCTGCATATCTGGGTAGAAGATGCTGAGATTTTTCAAGAACCTGACTCTTAAGCCAAATCACATAGACTTTCCAAAATCAATAAGCTTACAAAGCCCACAAGTCTCATTCTATTTGAAGTCTGAATAAGGGTAACAGATGCTTTGCTTTTCTTTCTTTTTCCTCCTCCCTCTTTCTTTCTCTCTCTTCTTTCCATCTCTTCCTTCCTTCTTTTACATTTTCACAGTGTTTTCTCTCCCCTAAACATTTCTTCCTGCCTCTTGGTTTTTTCTCTTCCACCACACTACACCCCATTCAGATATACTTTGGACAATATGATGGGAGTTGCCAGAAATCCACAGCAGGGAGAAATAGATATTTTATAGGCAGAGACTCACTCCCTTCCTTGCCTCTCTTTCTTCATCTTTATGTTCTTACTCTTGTGAAAGACTGAAGAAATATTAAACTATAAGTCCTTATACTGATAATAATTTTCTACAATCAAACCCAATAACTGAGGGTTAGTGATGTTTTGAATCCTGAAGTAACAACCACCCAAGAGAGGTCCTGCCATCATTTTCAGAGATGTTCTCTGCATAGGGCAGGAGGTTTGATAGGATGAAATGGAAAGATAAGACCAAACTGACATTTTATGGCAAGTACTGTATATACTTCTGTTTTCTTGTGTTGTTTTGAATTTGTGTCCATTTTCTTTGGTTTCAATTTTTACATGTATTTTGTTTTGATCCTCTGTGTCTGCTTAATAAAGTTTTTCTTAGTATATTTATTTGAGTCTCATAGACACATTTTTGTCTCACTAACTAGCTAGTAAACTATCTTTCTCTAAATTCTAATTGTTCTAGTCCTTTTAAAAAAATTTGTCCTGTCCCTATAGTCATCTTTTTGGCTTGTCCATTTTTCACACTGAAAAAATTATAAGGAAAGTTTACAATTTGTTGGATAATTTCCCTTTAAAAAGTAAAGTGCAATATTGAATACAAATTATTTCTGTGATCTAGGACTTATTTGTTTTTAACATTCACTATTTATTACCACATATCATTAATATTAATTTATATTTCCTTTATTATTGTACTGATTATCAAGATTTAAGAGATTTCTATTTCACTGGATCTTATTCAGTGATTCATTCAATAACTGTTCATCAAGCTCCTATACATAGCATTTATAGAAGGTTCTCAATGTATGTGTACAATGCCTTGAATGAATGCATATGATGTGCCAGGCACTGTCTTAATAGCAGAAACACAGACGTGAATAAGATATGCAAGGTCCTTCCTCGAGGGGAGCTTTCATTGGGGTGGGGGTGCAGGGTATGTTTGTATTTGGTTTTGTAGTGGAATGTGGAGAGCGATAAACAAGTAAACAGATAAAGTAATTTCAGCTGGTGATAGAGGCTAGGGTCCGGTGAATGTCTCAGTAACTCAGGCCACTAGATTATCTATAAGTCCTGTGTTTTCTCAATTGTCATTGGACTGAACCAAGGACCCCAAATAATCTTGTTGTGGGGCAAGACCACACCCAGCTTTCCCTGATCCAGTGCTTCCCCATTGTCTGCTTCTGCAGGAATGAGATTCAAGAGCTGTCCTGCTGCTGGGCCCTGCACAGGTACATGAGTCAATAACACCTCCCCTGTGGGCTCCTTCCTTCCCACCAGGGGAGGTAACACGAGGTCCTGCTGCCTTGTCAGACAGAGACAAGCTCCGACTCAGGGATGGAGGCACTGAGTGCTCAGGACGAGTGGAGGTTTGGCACAATGGCTCCTGGGGCACAGTGTGTGATGACTCCTGGAGCCTGGCAGAGGCCGAGGTGGTGTGTCAGCAGCTGGGCTGTGGCTCTGCCCTGGAAGCCCTGCAGGAGGCGGCATTTGGCCCAGGAAGTGGGCACATCTGGCTGGATGAGGTGCAGTGCAGAGGCAGGGAGTCCTCCCTTTGGGCCTGTGCTGCACAGCCCTGGGGGCAGAACGACTGCAAGCACGAGGAGGATGCTGGAGTGAGGTGCTCTGGTAAGTGGTGGAGAGTGGGTTGAGCTCTTCTTGAGCTGGAGCTGGGGTAGGGCAATGGGCTGGGCTGAGATGAGATGGGCAGTTGGTATTCAGAAAGCATCTAGGGGCTGCAGCCCTGGATTAGGAAAGGGGGAGCTGGGAGGACACAATATTGTTTATATGCTAACCTAAGGGAGATTGCAGGGTTCAGGTAAGAAAAGTGGGTTACCCTGCATTCTGGCCAATTCCTGTGCTCCCAACTCCTGTTTTTCTCTCTAGGTAAAAGAACAACATTGCCAACGACTACAGCAGGTACAGTGCCACCATCCATGGGTATGAGACCATGGTCAAATTCTTGGGACATGTTCTATAGAACCTCTGACAGAATTAGCCAACTCAGAAAGGAAAGATCCCAAGGAGCAACTGGGTGGTGGGGAGTTATCAGGGTGTTTTCCTTGGACAAACTTCCCCTTCCTTGGTTCACTGTGCCAGAAGTCTCTCATGCCTTCAGGCCATGGGAGGCTGGCTCTAAGGATTTCTTCACCTCCCCATGATTGTAGCTCCTCAGCAGCTGACACCTATGCCAAGATTGTTTGGTGTTCTAGTCTGGTGGAGCCCAAGAGAAGGGGCTGAAGCTGTGCCCTGGCCCTCAGAGATTCTTGTACTTCCAGTACTCCCTGACAACCCCCAGCACTCCCATGGACCATACTGGAGTGGAGTTGAATTTATCTTAGGACATGGCCTGGGGCAGTGCCCACCAGGGTCACAGTCAATCCCATTATGTTGGAAGCTGGTACTTCACTGTCCTGAGCTCTCTGGAAATGTTGGTGTAAGTGAGACTAACTGTACATGTGCCCTTCTCCAAATCTTCTTGGCTTTGTTCTTTTAGGGACCAGATCTGTCCCAAGGCCTGTCCCTGGCATCTTCTCCCTGCCTGGGATCCTTTGCCTCATCCTGGGGGCCCTTCTCTTCCTGGTCCTCATCATCCTGGTGATTCAGCTGCACAGATGGAGAGTAGAACACAGAGGTGGGCTGCATGGGGTACTGGGTAACATGGAAAGTGTATTCAGGCAGGAAATGGGGCAGGGGTGCCAAGAAGAATCTGGGCAAGGCATCTTTTCTTATGCCATTAGTTTGCAAAATCCATCTGCCCCTCATTACCCACTAAGGACTGAATATACAGACATTCTAGAGAGTGGGGTATGAGCACTCCTAAGTCATGGCTTTTTATGTGAGATGGGAAAGAGTAGGAGCTGACCTTTGGATACAGGGTCAGACAAAGGAAGAAAGTGTAGGCATGGTGCTTGGGCATAAGACTACACAGGAGCCCTGAAAACCGTGAGGGTTTTTCCAGTGTGAGTGGAGATACAATGAAGAATCACCCTGTTGGTTCAGCACTGTCAGGGGGCAATCTCTGACCTGCTGGTGGTTTGCTCAGCCTTATCCAGCTTTGAAGATGCTCTTGACCAGGCTGTGTATGAGGAGATTGACTATCTTGTAACACCGAAGAAAGAGGATCTACTGAGCAGCTCAGGTGAGTGTCCCTGCCTTGCCCTCCTGGGACCTCTACTTCTCAGCCATCCACTGGCTGGGAGTCTGGTCTTCTCAACATATGCAGACCCCACATATACCCCAGGCTCACAGAGGCATGAGGAGTCTGTCCACAGTCCCTGTGAGCTCCAAGCCTTCCCTTGACACCACAAAGCCATGCTAACCCATCATTTCTTCTGGCCTTACTGTGGAACCATGGACACAGGAAAGATTGTTCTGTTTGTTTTTGTGATGTTTTTCTCCACTTTAGTGTTCCTGTTAGATGACTCAGTAACAAAACTGCCATATCACACCAGGGATGGTGAGTAGAGTAGTGACTATAAATCTGTCCCAGATATGACAGGTAGATCTGTCCTGGCTGGGCACTGGGGGCAAGGAAATTTCCCCCAGAGATGAGAGCCATGGGTAGTAGTCCCCCTTTGACTGAGATGAGAGGGTTCCTTTGTCTTACTGGGCTCCCAGTCTCCCTCTTCTCTGGTGGCTCTGCAATGCCCCATTATGGGGTTAGGCTCTCAGTGTCCACAACCACCCTCATTCAGTCACAAGAGCACAAATTATTTTTAAAAATAACATCTGGAAAGTATAACCTGATATAATATTTTAGTAACAGTCCTCAGTTTTAAGAGTTCCTTTGAAAAATTTTTAGTTTTAATCAAGAAATACTGACATATTTGGATCATTTTCTGGTTTATTGGCACACAGAAATGAATTAAATGGTCTTGGAAAGACCCGTTAAAGCATGGGGTGAATGGTGCCTCTGTTTAGCAGCCATCAGAATCTCTGGGTCAGAAAGGACTGTAGGTATTATCTAAACCAACCCATTTACTGTGGTTTTACCTGATCCCTTTGTCTGACCATAGAAGCCTCAGCTGAGAGGACTGATGCCTTTGCCGAGGGTTACGATGATGCAGAAGAGCTACCAGTGCCCAAGGCTCCTTCTTCCTCTCAGATGGGTGAGCAGGAAGTGCTCCCAGAGGAGAATGGAGTGAGAGCTTTTCAGACAGGTGAGTGGGATTAATTAATCTCTGTCATATTTTGTCTCTGACCTAGACAGGATGAATTTGAACTTCTCAATGCCCATTCTTCTTGTAGGTTCAAAATTTGGATGACCTCATATGTTTGATAGTATCACTTAGACCATGTGCCTTTCTCTAACTTTCATGTTCCTTGGGAGGGAGGAAGCACTGTGTAGTCTTGGTAGCTGTTTTTCCATAACTCCATCCTTTTTTTTTCTTTTGTTTTTATTGTTTTTCAAGTACAGTTGTCTCCATTTTCCCCCCACCACTCTCTCCACCCCATGGAACCCCAACTCCCACCCTCAAACCTAACCTTCTTTGGCCTTGTCCATGGGTCCTTTATATATGTTCCTTAATGACCCTTCCTCTTCTTTACCCCGTTACTCTCCTCTCCTCTTCCCTCTGGTTGCTTTCAGTTTGTTCTTTATTTCAATGTTTCTGGTTATATTTTCCTTGTTTGTCTGTTATATTGATTAGGTTTCAGGTGTAGGTGAGATCATATGGCATTTGTCTTTCACCCTTTGGCTTATATCACCTAGCATAATGATCTCCAATTTCATCCATGCTGTCATGAAGGGAATGATGGCCATCATAAGCAATACAACAAACAACAAGTGCAGGTAAGGATGTGGAGAAAAAGGGAACCCTAGTACACATTTTTGTGGGAAGGCAGACTGGTGCAACCATTGTGGAAAACAGTATGGAATTTCCTCAAAAAACTAAAAATGGAACTGCCTTTTGACCCAGCAATTCCACTGATGGGATTATACCCCTAAGAATCCTAAAACACAAATTCAAAAGGACCTATGCACCCCAATGTTTATAGCAGCACAATTTACAATAGCCAAGTGCTGAAAGCAACCCAAGTGCCCATCAGTAAATGAGTGGATCAAAACACTGGTACACTTACACAATGGAACACTACACAGCAGAAAGAAAGAAGGAGCTCCTACCTTTTGTTATTTTAAATATTTTATTGTTTATGCTGTTACAATTGTCCTAATTTTCCCCCTTTACCCTTCCCCACCCAGTCCACCCCTCATTCCCACAGTCAATCCCCACCTCATTGTCCATGTCCATGGTTTATTCCTATATGTTTATTGACTAATTCTTTCACTTCCTTTCAACCAGTCCCCTTCTCCTCCTTCCTCTCTCACCACTGTTGGTCTGTTGCATGTTTTCTATGCCTCTGCCTCTATTTTTCTCACTACTTTCTGTTTTTCATTAGATTCCTCTTATAAGTAAGATCTTATGGTATTTGTCTTTCTTTGACTGGCTTATTTCACTTAGCATAATAGTCTCCAGGTCCATCCATGCTGCTGCAAAAGGTAAGAATTTCTTCTTGTTTACTGCAGTGTAGTATTCCATTGTGTAAATGTACCTCTTGCACAAGCCCAAACCAGGGCCTGAACCCACACCCCAGGAATCTAACTCATGACCTTTCGGTTTGCACTATGCTGCCCAACCAACTGAGCCTCAATGGCCAGGAAAGTTATCAAATCCTTTTAAATTCAGACTTTCCTCTCCATCACTTCCTCTTAATTTTTCAAGAAATCCTCATTTCTTGTCCATCTATTTATAAAGCCTTCTAAGCAAATTATATCAACTCATCTCTCTTTATTGGAAGTTGATGGAGGACAAATTAGCACTCTCCCACAAACCTGCATCTAAGTGGGCAAGAAAGCAAGGAAGATGAGAGGAGATCCAGAAGGAATATAGACAGAAGAATCTGGAACTTTTAGCTATATGAGTTTTACAGATTTAAAGATATAGTATAGTCATCAATATCCATGTGAGGTGTAATATATATGACTGCAGTAGCACCAAGCATGGGAGTAATAGAAACACACTGTTGCAAAGTTCTTATATTTTACCTGACTTAGTACAATTTTTCCTCTCATCAGACTGTGATAAGATAATGCTGCATGTTCTAATTTCTAGAGGAACCACTAAAAATTGATGTAAAGTTATATAGCTAAAAAGCCAGTAGAGGACTTAAACCAGAATATTACATATGTTCATTTAACTAAAAAGAAAGTAGGAAAAGAAGAACAAAAGGGACAGAGAGAGAGTAAATAGAAAATAGAGAGCAAAATGGTAGTGCTAAACCCAACCATATTATAATTATATTAGATGTAAATTGACAAATAGTCCAATTAAAAGACATCAGTTGACTACTGCACATCAATTAGAGTAGCTAAAATGAGCAATAGTGATCATAACAATTTGACAAAGAGGGAAGAAGCATAAAATGGAGTAAAAATAGCCTCTTCAACAAATGGTGTTGGGAGATCTGGACAGCTACATGCAAAAAAATGAAACTTGATCACCAACTTACACCATACACAAGAATAAATTCAATGTGGATAAAAGACTTAAATGTAAGTCATGACACCATACAAGTCCTAGAGGAAAACATAGGCAGGAAAATCTCAGACATTCCACGCAGCAACATCTTCACTGATATGTCCCCTAAAGCAAGGGACATAAAGAAAAGAATAAACAAATTGAACCTCATCAAATTAAAAAGCTTCTGCTTGGCTAAAGAAAACAGCATTAAAATGAAAAGAGAGAACCAACTATATGGGAAAACGTATTTGGCAATGATACCTTGGACAAGGTTTTGATCTCCAAAATATATAAAGAACTCACACGACTCCACTCCAGGAAGACAAAAATAAATAAATAAATAAAAATGGGCAAAAGACTTGAACAGACACTTTTCCAAGGAGGACATATGGAGGACCCAGAGACATATGAAAGGATGCTCAGCATCACTAGTCATCAGAGAGATGCAAATTAAAACCACAATTGGATACCACTTCACACTGGTCAGAATGGCCATCATAAACAAAGCAACAAATAAGTGTTGGACAGGATGTGGAGAAAAGGGAACCCTAGTGCACTGTTGATGGGATTGAAACTGGTGCAGCCACTGTGGAAAACAGTATGGAATTTCCTCAGAAAACTAAAAATGGAACTGCCTTTTGACCCAGCAATTCCATGCTGGGATTATATCCTAAGAGCCCTGAAACACCAATCCAAAAGAACCTATGCACCTGGTGTGTTCATAGCAGCACAATTTACAATAGCCAAGTGCTGGAAGCAACCTAAGTACCCATCAGTAAATGAATGGATCCAAAAACTATGGTACATTTACACAGTGGAATGCTATGCAGCAGACAGAAAGAAGGAGCTCCTACCCTTTGCAACATCATGGATGGAACTGGACAGCATTATGCTAAGTGAAATAAGCTGAGTGGTGAGGGACAAATACCATATGATCTCACCATTAATGGGAACATAATCAACAATCAAAAAACAGCAAACAGCCCTGGCTGGCGTAGCTCAGTGGATTGAGCACGGGCTGGGAACCAAAGTGTCCCAGGTTCGATTCCCAGCCAGGGTACATTCCTGGGTTGCAGGCCATAACCCCCAGCAACCGCACATTGACGTTTCTCTCTCTCCCTCTCTCTCTCTCTCTCTCTCCCTCTCTCTCTCTCTCTCTTTACAATAGCCAAGTGCTGGAAGCAACCTAAGTACCCATCAGTAAATGAATGGATCCAAAAACTATGGTACATTTACACAGTGGAATACTACACAGGAGAGAAAGAAGGAGCTCCTACCCTTTGCAACATCATGGATGGAACTGGACAGCATTATGCTAAGTGAAATAAGCTGAGTGGTGAGGGACAAATACCATATGATCTCACCTTTAATGGAACATAATCAACAACAACAAAAAAGCAAACAAAATATAACCAGAGACATTGAAATTAAGAACAATCTACCAATAGCCAGAGGGGATAGGGAGGGAACAATGAGGGGAAGCATTTTCAGGAACTATTATAAAGGACACATGGACAAAACCAAGGGGTAGGGTGGAAGCAAGGGAGGGAGGTGGATTTGGCTGGGTTGGGGGAGAGTGTTAGGGGGGAAATGCAGATAACTGTAATTGAACAACAATAAAATAATTTTTAAAAATAAAATAAATACATAAATGTTATCTTTAAGCTGATGATCATCACAAAAAAAAATAGTGATTATAACAAATACTGATGTAGATGCAGAGATACTGCATTGTTGGTGGGTATAAAACCACTTTGGCACTGTCTTCAAACTAAACATGCACTTACCACACAATGCAGTCATTACATTCTTGGACATTTATCCCAGAGAATAAAAATTTATGTTTATGCAAAACCTGTACACAAATGTTCTTAGCACTTTTATTAGTAATAACAAAATTACTAATTTTGGCAGAGGCTGAGGTGGTGTGTCAGCAGCTGGGCTGTGGCTCTGCCCTGGAAGCCCTGCAGGAGGCAGTGTCTGGCCCAGGAAATGGGCACATCTGGCTGGGTGAGGTGCAATGCAGGGGCAGGGAGTCCTCCCTGTGGGCCTGTGCTGCAGAGCCCTGGGGATAGAACAACTGCAAGCACAAAGAGGATGCTGGAGTGAGGTGCTCTGCTGAGTGGGAGGTCCAACGATGTTGGGCTATGATTAAAGGATGTATGAGTTTGTACCCAGAAGCACTTCCTGAATTAACCTGCTATTCTGTGCTCTGGTTCCAGGGAGGACTATTGCCTGATCTCCTGTGATACGAGAGACATCCATATTTTTAGGGGCCTGCTCTATGGAATTTACATATTTCTGGCAAAATTAATCATGTCAGTATAGGAAAGATGATCAGGAATTTATAATCCTATAAAGTTGTGGCAGCTGTAATTCTCCAAAGCCTTACCAGCTACCATTTTATAAAAACCCCTTAAAACCAGGTTTAGTTTGGGTTGACAATGCTCAGGGCAGGACCTGGGTTGATCACATCTTGAGGTTCAGGCAGACCCACTGTATCTGAAAGGTGATTTCATGGTCTTGAGGACTCAGGAGATAACCAGGATAAAGGCATGTTCTCCTGGATTTATCAGCCTCTCTAAAACTGCATGCACAACCTACTTCTCTTCTCTGGCACCCAATCAGATCAGCTCATCTCTGGTATCTCCTCCTTACTGAGATCCTCTGTAGCATACTGGGGGCTCTTCTTTTTCTGGCCCTTACCATCCTGGGGATTCAGCTACACAGACAGAGAGCAGAGCCCCATAGTGGGCTGTAGGGAGGCTAAGTGATCTGGAAAGTAGTGGGAAGGGTATTGAACTGGTCAGTTGTGATATCAAGAAAAGTGCATAAATATTGATCTTCATCCCATTATCTGGCAAAACTCCACTTTCTCTTCAACAGACTTCAGAATTTGAAAGAATTGAATCCTTTGTCCTGGGGTGAATGTAAAACCACTCAATAATTTAGGCTTCCTTTAAAAAAATTATGACCTCCTATGTGAATAGTGCCTATGGAATTCGGCATAGGATCAAAATCAGGGTTGGGAAACCTAGGTTTGTCCCAAAGGGTCACAGGGCTAAGAAGGGGCCCTGGTAGCCCATAGGGGGTTTTCCAAGGATGAGCATTGCAGAGTGCTAGAAGCTTTGTCTCTTGGTAAAGGGAACATCTGCAGGGTAGTCTCTACACTCATGCCACATTCCCCAGCCTTGTCTGCTGTTGAAGATGCTCCCAATGAGGTCATGTACCAGGAGATTGATTACCCCGTAAAACTAGAGAAGGAGGACTTGTCAGACAGCTCAGGTGGGTTCCATGCCTTCCCCTCTGTTCACGAGCTGGCCATGGGTTATCTTCAGCAAGCACAGACCCAACCACCAACTCAACTTCACACAATCAGCCTCCTCCTAATCCAGGAGCTGAAAGCCCTCTCTCTACAAGCCTGAAGTCTCAAGGTTTTTTCTAAACAATGACAGTGGGTCTCCTATGGAAAAAGTTTTTCCATTTGTCTGTATGTTTTTCTCCCTATCAGGAAACCTGTCTGATGACTCAGTGACTAAGCTGCTGTATTATACAGGGGACAAGGAGGGGAATGGAGACTCTGACTCTACTCCAGATAGTAGGTCTTCCCTCAGATGATAGGGATGAAGAGGAAGAATTTTTCTGAGGAGAATTCCATCATCTCTTATGATTAGTATGGAAAGGATCCCTTCTCTCCAATTCACAATTTTTCCTCCATCTGTCTACTCTGTGACCACAGAAAGAAAAGATCAGACTGAGTTCTCTGTATTCACAGCTACTTCTACTCAGTTACAAACACACATCCAGTGTGTTATTATGGATTCAATGGCCATTTATTAAAACACCTAAAACTGATCACCTTAAAAATTCTGTATCAAGAGTGAATATTGGGAAGTATGTTTGGATCCTGAGATAGTATGATATTTAGATCATTTAGTGGATTATGTGTATATTGAGATAAAAAATGATTTCAATAAACCCTGAAATACATTGGAGTGCTTAGTGCCTATACTTATCCAGTGCCACAAGCTCTTATTTATAAGAGACATAAGAGAGAAGAGTGTTCTCCTGGATCTTCTCCAGATAATAATGTTGAGCAGCTCTTGGGATGAAGCATGCCCAGGAGAGTTCCTGGGGATTAAATCCTGAGGTCAACTGAGCTCTAGAGGGGATTAAAATACAAACCTCCTGTGACTGGGACAGGTAGGATCTCCTGTCTCTGAGTGACCTGTGTCCAGGCTTCCCTCTCTCTGCCAGTTCTGGGTCTCCCACAGCTTCAGAAGGCACGTGGACAGCTTGGGTTCTCTTGTTCCAAATGCATCCTCCCTCAGTCACTGATATGTGCATATTACATATTACAACTCTGTACCCATATGCTTGAAAATAGTACCTGAAAGTCATAGCAAAATAGCTTTTGTTTATGTTTTGTGGTATAAATGACCATGTTAGAAAAATATTATTGACCTTGATATTTTGGGATGTTTAAAAGATTTATATAATGTCTGAGAATATTGAGATCAAATATATACCTTTGAGACAATCATGGAATATGGTATCTATATTTATTAGCTATTAGAATCTCTGCATTAGAAGGGACTTAGGGCATCACCTTGTCCAACCATATTTTGATATTTCACCTACATCCTTATCTGTTTCAGAGCCCCCAGGACAACATGTCAATGCCATAGGAAATGGTTATGATGATGCTGAAGAGTTATCTGTTTCTGAAATTCCTTCTTCCCTTGGCATGAGGGAGAATTATTTTTTCCCAAAAGAGCAAGGTGATGTCTGGTATTCCCAAAGAGGTGAGTGGACAGTTTGGTCTCCAGTAGCCTCATTTCCTTGTGATGGACAAGATGAGTATGGACCTATAGACAGTCAGTTTTTCTTTATTTGGATACTTAGATAAGATGAGCTCTTCTTTATCCCAGTATATTGTAGCCATTTCATCTCTTCTGAAAGGGGAAACATACTGTGTGCATGTCCACCATCAATTGATGTAAACATCTCTATGAGTTGCAAAGGCTTTGTTCCCATTTTATATCTCAAGCTGAAATATATGTTCTGACAATAATTATAGGTGATTCTTCAGATTGTGAGAAGGAATCTGGAAAGTTTTTTAATATCAATGTAAATTAAATTTCTGAACTATAAAAATTTGTTTTGGGAGAACCATGTAACCAAATGTTTTAAGTTGACATTGCCCACTATTAACACAAAATATGCAGTGGCCTAAATTAGAGTCATAACATCTCAGCCCTGAAAGGAAACTAAGATACAATTTTCTCTCAACATTTCAATTGACAAAAACCTTCATTCCCTAGGACTAGGCTTTCTGTTTATATGTGAGCATGTGGCCCTGGGCAGCAGGGGGATCTGATTGAGCTGCTCCCTTTCAGCATCTGACAGAGGACCCAGACTGTTCTCATGAACACTTTGAGGCAGGTTTGATCTGTTATTGAGGTGTTGAGGCAAGGTCATCTGAGGTGCTCTTGAGAGGTCATCTCCTGCCTCCATTTATTAAGAAATCAGGTCACTGGTGTGGAAGAGAACATTCATGTCTTTTTTCCTCTCCTTGTCATTATTCATCCACCTCCTTCCAAACTGTGGAGATCAAGACAATACTATGCAGAGAAGCAGAATCAGTCTAAAGGAGCTCTATCTAGCCTTTCACGTAAGCTCTGGGCCCCCACACATATTTGGTAGCCACTTTGTACTAGTCTCCTTCCTCCAGAGGACTCTGTCTTGTCTTTTTGTCACCACTGACATCAGAATTCTCCTTACTGTTTCAGGCATCTCTCTCCAGTCTCCTAGTGAAGCTGTCAACACTAGCATGGAAGAGAAAAGATTCTCTTTGGTCCTGAGACAAGAAGACCCTGGGTATGATGATGTTGAGCTTAGCACCATGTAGCACCATTCTGGAAGCAAGCAGCTCTTTGAAGAATCTTCTGTAACATTGTTTTTCAATAAATGAGGGTCCTGTCTTCTTTCTTACTGCAGAGTTTTTACTTGTACCTATGATGAAAGGAAATTATTCATAATAAATACTCTGAGCTTCATAGACCAATGCTATTCTTTAAGTATTTAGGTATTTTCACCCATCTCATCATGGAAAATTTAATCTAGAAACATTCTTCTTTCCTCAAGTGAAGTCTCAGTTGAACAGTCAGTGTTGTCACCTCCCCTCAGACTATGCTCTCACCTTCCTTTAGGATCAGAGAGTGTCACACCTTCCTTGACCAGCGTAAAACTCGGAAAACTGGCCCTGAACTGGGTGTTTACTCTTAGGAAGATAAACTCAGAAACATGTAACTGAATATTCCAAAACATTTCACCTCTCTCTAAAACCTAAAAGAGAGGTTCAAAGTGAAGGTTGCTAGGTAAAAGGGAAATGGTGGCAGCTCTTCTCATTTAGCTCAAATTTTTATAGAATATAATGACAAACATCTACTACTACACAGCAATATCTTTCACTCTAACTGCCTTTTTTATGGTCTAGTTATATCCCAACATCCTAAATCTCCACCATCTCCAACAAACTGTGTCTTTTCACAAGATACAGTCTGTGTTCATAAACCTATCATTTTCTCTCCTTTTTTAACTCTATCTCTTTTTCATTCTCTTCTCTCACTGTATTTGTGCAGACACCAAATAATTCTAACCTCCCCGATTACAAGAGCTTTTTAAGTGACTCTATTTACTTTCAACTCTTTGTATCCCAAATGATTGTTATATATTACTTGAGCTTCATCAAAAAAAAAGAAAGGAGAGAAGAAGGACAGGCAAGCCAAAAAGATGTAATTTTCTTGCCTAAAAAGCACTACTGCTTTATAATCAGCTATACCAAGTTTCCAAAATTAAGTTATTTGCATGCCAGCATGAATATTCCCCTACGTGCATTTTAACTGTATAACTATATAACCAAATCTTCTTTACATTTACTAGCTTAAAGAGATAAATATTTTGTTCAATAGTAGAATATATATTATTACCAAAAATATCTATAAAATAATAGAAATTTTTCTGAACTTCACAAACTATATGTACATTTACTTTTCAAAAACTTCCCATGTGCTACCTTAAATCGAAATTTGGGAAACAGCACACTGCACTGGAAAACTCAAAACCCATATCCTATGAAGCTCTCCACATTTGGAACTCTCTCTCTTTAGCATCATTAGCTCGTTCCTTACAGTTGTTTTAGGAACAAGCAATACTGAACTGCTCAGCATTTCCTAAACCATCGGGTTCTGTTGAAACTGTGTTTTATATGTGTTTCTTCTCTCTAAAATGATCTTTTTCACTCTACATTCTTTGTCTTTTTCTCTTTCATCTCTCCCCATTTTAAATAAATTGTCATTTTTTACTCATTTCAGTTCAATAAATGGAACTGGGTTAGTGTAATCATCAAATACTTAATGAGACAAAGTCCTGCTGGAGAATACTTACATATTCTGAATTTCTCATTTCAGAGAATATATTTCTTCACTATCACTACCACTTTTAATAGGTTCATGTCTTGAATGAATGTTACCTGACTTGTTATTCTAACAGGGTGCAGCCAAGAGGGGAGCCCCAAATAGAGATTTGAAATGGGGTCCAGAACTCAAGGTGTCCAGGAAATATTAGGATGTCCTCACCCCCTTCCCCCACACATGTGAGCTGGGTGAAGGGACACATGGAGCAGGGCCATTGAGAGCTGTTTTGCATAGCAACAGCTTTGCAGCTAACCTCTGGTGTGGTCATTTAACATTTCTATAAACTTTAACTGGTTACATAGATATGTTAAATAGCTGTGGCCATGCTCTGAGCCAGGGGAATGGAAGTAACTTCCCCACCAAGACATAACTGGGAGGCAGTTCCCCCAAGTTACAGCACCTGTGTGGGAACTTGGAGAAGATTGGCTCCATGACATGGGGCCATGCTTGCCCAGACCCACAATGGCAGCCCAGTGAAGCTGGAAGGATATGAGAGTGCTGGCAAGTGTGGTCAATTGTGGGAGGAGTTGGAAATGGGGCTGCAGAGGAAGAATGGCATGGGGATTTAAACCCAGATGCAGCAGCCATTGAGGGGAGAACCACGCGGTTTTGGCAGAGTGGAGAATCCTGCAGCCCTATGAGAGAGAATCAAGATGCGGCTTTACCAGAGAACTGCCACTCGGCTTTGGCAGAGTGATGACCCCCCTCCCAGCAGCCCTGGGAGAGAGAACCATACGGCTTTGGCAGAGTGGAGACTCCCTCAGCCATTGTGCAGAGAGGACCACGTGGCTGGGGCAGTGGAGAGAGAACCTCACACCTTTGCCAGAATGGGGACCCCCACAGCTTTAGAAGGGGGAACCACCACCTGGCTTTAGCAGAGATCCCAGCGACACAGCTGATGGTGCCAGGAAGCAAGGGAAGCCTACCAGCTGAGACAGATTACTGGGAAGAACTGGGGCTGCCTGAGCCATGGACTTCTATTTCTTTTCCTGAGATACGGTACCCCAGACTCGGCAAAGGGGGAAGGAAAGACTGTGTGTGTTTGTGGGTGTTTTAAGGGACTTTGGGATTTTGATGAAGACATTAGGTCACTACTTTAAGTTTGTATAGCATTAAATAAACATTTCCTTTCCTTTTCACAAATCTCTGGCATTGAGAGACCTCTTTCCTCTGGCGGCAGACATAATGAACCTGGGGGGTTCTTTTCAGTAATAGTATATCACCCTTTGGCCCCCACTTTGGCCCCCACTGTGTTCTGTAACATTATCACAATTCCTTTTTCCAGAAATGGTAAATCTAGGGTTGATTCTGTCCCTGTGTGCCACATTATTCAAACACAAGGGACAAACAGAAGCAACATTCACTCTAGCTAACCAACAATAAGCTTTTAGAATTTCTGGCTGCATTCAATCATCAAATGAGCACCATGACAAATTTGATAATTGATGATCCCAGTTTTTTTGCACATCACTTTCACCTTTTTGTATATCCTGCTAGAAGAGTTTGACTGGATCTCTCTAAGTGGTAATAATTGCTTGGACACAATCTGAGTTTTAATCTTGCAATAATTATTTTAACTAAACTATATTAAATAAATTTCTCAGTTAAAAAAGACTCAGCTCCCATTGAAAGGAAATAAGATTGAAAGAGAAGTAAGGCCTTTCTACTAAGTAAGAATCAGACTCTGAATAGCAGCATAAAGCAAAGAGAAACCATGTCTTTGAGATGCTGAAGATCCTCTTGCTCTAAAGAGAGTCTGAGAGAAAGACTTTGCACCAACCTTTGTGTGAGGACAACTGTCCTGTCACTATCTCCTCTGATCTAGTGCATATCAACCCTCTAGTCCCAGTGTCAGCTCTGGGCCAGAGTCAGGTAGATGGATCTGGAACAGTTGGGGAACATATTTTTTCTATTTAGATATAAACCCAAGAATACAATTTACATATCCAAATCAATATCCAAGTTAGAGTAAAAGAAATAAAGTGAAGATCTGCAGGGTAACATTCTTGTACTTCCACCCTCTATCCATCAAGAAAAGAATCATACAGAGATAAATACTTAGCACATTTCACAACAGGCTGTGAAGATTATGGGATGTGACTAGAGTAAGAACAGCAAAGGGACTACAGAGAATTAAGCATGTTAAGTGGAGAGTTAATTTTGGTTTCCAAATCACTACAAAGGTGGTAGTTCTTAGTGGGTGTTCAAAAGTTAAGATAAAAAGCTCACATCCATTGAAAAATGTAAAAGATTGTGTAAATAACATAGGAAAACTACTCATCACTATGGAAATAGTAAGTGTGGAAGAAACAAGCACAAAAGTAAAACAATGATTATGTACATCCATAGGTACAAACAACAGAGAAGTTTAGTATTACACTTTACTACCAAACAATCTCCTCTATTATTAAGGACAAAGTATGAGTTTATGCTTACATGGAAGTAGTAAAAATTAAACTTGAAAAATTATACACATAGTATAAAAGCCTAACATGACCAAAATCAAGATGTAGAACTAGTCAATCACCACAAAAGAACTCCTTTATGCTACTTCTTTGTATTCACACTCACCTCCCACCCCACCTCAGTCCTCTACCTACCACCATCTCTATAGTTTTGTCATTTGCTAATGTTATATAAATAGA